CTACAAATACCATTTGATCAGCTGCAGGTAGATAAGGTTTTCCTTTTCCAATAACGACATGACTTAGCCGCTATGTTTGCAAGCTTCACGAGTAAGGTGCCAGATTCTAGGGAGCATTTGCAAGTTAAGGAGCCAAACTCCTCATCTTCCAAACCGATAATTGTTTGCATCGACACCATACCGAACTTGTGCGTTTGCAGCATTTCAGGAATTTTTTATTCCGTATAATAAGTCCATGCACGCATACATAACTGCATACACATACATGTGTAATTTTTGGTCGGAAGGAACAATACTCATGTTTGAATCTCAAATTCAAGCAAATTTCCACCGCTTTGTAAAAACAGCAATGAGATTATAGCAAATCCATCATCAATGCGGCGTGTTTTCATCATAAGCTTGAAATTCGACCAGCCGTGCAAACGCAATCGAAATTTCGCTTTTGACGTTTTGATGTTACTACAGGCAATAATGATTCTTGCCTTGTCCACAACAAACATTGCATTTTCTCTCGTTTCTGAGCTCACATATTAAGCTGTATTAAGCAAAGTACCTGCTACTCAACTGTTTTGAGTTGGACAAACACTGTACAGCGTTCAGTTGCGTTGAAGAATGATGCTGTTGCCTATGAGATGTTTTTGCCGTTTTATATACCAAAAATATCATGACCATTTTGACAGTCGGTGCCGGCATCTCACGCCAGTATTTTTTTGGCCGGATTCGCCTGTGCTGGGCTTTTGGGTCCTGAGCGGCATACATCAGTTGGTGCTTGTTTTCCATGAATACTAATAAATCATCCAATAAACATGGGAAATTCACCATGATTCAGATTCAATCTCCGGCCAGAATCATCCGCAACCACGGGCAGCGCTAACAAAATTTTCGCATTTGTCATGTGATAACTGTAAGGCAGGCAACATACCTGGAGTAAGTTACAGGATTTTTTGATACAATGCGTGCAGAAGTAGTGTCAAGGTAGTCCCTTCACGGAATTTATAACTGCTTCTGTGGAAATCCTGCGAAAAGCCAGCGTTGCTTGCCGAGACGCTACTAAGTATGTGCGTGTCAGGCATACAAACAGAATGTAGGTACTGAGGCAGTGAAGTAAATGGGCCGGTGGTGCGATGATTTAGCACGTCGAGTCCAACTAGGTGAGAGGTTCGATTCTCTCCTGGTCCATATTAATTTAACAAAAAGGCGACGCTCGCGAGAGGCGCTGATGTAGTCGCGCATTCGTTAACTAGATGTTTCTTCTATTAATGATGACGTTGACGTTTGTAGATGTTGTTAACACTGGGCTCACCGTGCATCGTTGTGCTGACTCATTTGATGCACCAAGTGTTGGCCTCTTATGAAGTCTGGCCGGATCCGGTTGACGATGGCAGAACGCATTTCCCGAAACCCTCTTCGTGGGCCGATAAGAATTACGGGCAGTGGTGTCGAAATAGGACTATTAACAGGTAAATATAATCTAATATTTATTTAAAAGCGGTGACAGGTGCGATACCCAGGCTGGAACGCACCAGACTTGCCGGTGTGACCATGCGTTTTTGCACTAAACTTGCTGTTCACTAATTAAAGGAATGACCCCTGCGCTGTAGCCTAACACTTGGGCTCATATTGGCCACGCTCCGGCCTCTTCCGACATGCAGGAGAAAGGGAGTCGGTTGAGATAAAGGTGTTGCATTATAGGGCCGCATGGACTTTCAGGTACATGATTACCGGTTTTTGCACGAAGCCCGGTCATTTTTTCGGTAAATGCTAGCTTTTTGAAAAAAAAAATGCAAATTTCCAGTTCACAAAAAGTGGAAATGTTGCTAGAGCGGACGTCTTTCAAACCCAAAGTGGAACGCACAAGGCAAATCGGTGCGATTATGCGTTTTTTGCACCAAACTTGAAGTAATTAGGTAAACTGCATGAATGATTATTTCTTCACACCTACCTTGTGCGCTCAATACCGTAAATTATTGTAAATTTTTGCATAAAAGGAAATAAACAATTTCCGTTTAACGGCCGTTTTTTAAAAATAACCCAGCTGTTCAACGAGCAATTTTTCTGCCAAAAATCCAAGTGCCCGTAAACGAGAATCACGCGTACTTGGAGGCTGAATTTGAAAACTTTAAGTTGTATTTGGACGGAAAATATTGTCCCAAAATCTCAGCTTTCCTGGCTACCGAGTTGGCAGTTTTCCCGCTAAAACTTTCACGGGGCCGAACGTGACCTGGGAGCATACTTGGGGGCGGGGTTTGGGATTTCTAAATCGTATTTAGACTGGGAACATCCCTTTAAAATTCCAGCCTCCCAGCTTTCCTGGTTCCCAAGCTGGCGATTTTCGCGCCGGAACCCCTATGGGGATGTACGTGGGAGCCACACATCTGGGGGCTAAATATGAAATCCTTGAGTCATACGTGGACGGGGACATAACCTCAAAATTTCAGCTTTCTATCTTTTCTCATTCCCGAATTATCAATTTTCGTGCCAAAAGTTTCACCCTCTCGTATGCGAGGCCCAAATTCGCGTAGGTGTTGGTTCCGCGGTCCTGAGGTGGCACTTGGCCGAGGGACCGTCTAGCAAAATCTTGGCGTTGGAACTTGCTTGGTTGCCGGGTTGAAATACCCAGACAGACGAACACATACATACACACACAACGCAAACACGCACACGCAAACATACACAAACAGACAGGGTCGTTGCAATATGCTTGTTTGCAATTTGCATATAGGCAAAACGCATAAAAATCCAAGCACGCAAATGAACTGAATGTTGGATGAGGGCAGTCGTTCGCTGCAAAATGCACTTTTTCCAATTTTTCGGTAAAGTTGAGTATTTCTCACGCCAACTCGCAGGGAATTTCACCTCCAAGTAAAATTAAGACCGCACATGAAAGTAGAATATCCCAGCGAATTTTCAGCCTCGCAGTTTTATCCGGTAAGCGAAATATCTACTTCGCTATAAATATCTTCGAAGTACCCTAACTCGTGGTACAAATGCAAATCGGCACTCATTTTAGGTAGAGATTCCTATATGGGCGGTAAACATGCTGACAAGATTTTAGCTACTGTTTTCTGGCAAGTTTTGGAGTTAATATAGTACCAAGTTGCAAATTTGACGTGGTCATACGTGCTGCACAAGCGTGTGCGACAGCTGAGTTTAAAATCTTTAGCTCGCACATGCACAGAGAATATTCCTGCAAAGTTTCAACTTTGTACTTTGCCTTGTTTGTGAAATCGTTTCCCCCCAAAGAAATTTGCATATTTCTTTTTGGAGTCCGTACGCGGGGTCTAGGCGCATGTGGGGAAAGACCTTGAAACGGGAGGGTGACACACGGGTTAGAAACATACACCCGAAGTTTCAGCCTCCCAGCTTTCCTGCTTGCTGAGATGAAAGTGGGTGATAAAGTTCATTCGCTTCTGAACACACACACACACACACAAACAACATCTCAATAATATACGTTTTTGTTGCCTGCAGCAGCGCTGCGTTTTTGCTATAGTATGCAGAGCAAAAATGCATAAAAAGTCATGCCTGAGAGGCCTCTCTTTGGTCATTTGGCCCTCACTTTGCCGCTAAAAAGCTCTAGTTTAAGAAGAATTGACATATGGATCCGGACACACTCTTAAACTAGAGCCTTTTAACTCTACTGAGGATTTCAAATTTTGAGCTTGTTTTCAAGATAAAAAAGCATGTGAATCAAGAACCTTGCAAAAGACTGTCTGAGCTTCCGCGTGATTTTTCCATGGCGGCCTAGAACTTCCAGCTCTATTCTGTATCAAATATTTATGTTCCCATAACTCTGACGGGCAAATTTTCCAAAAAATGTGGGAGCAACTCATTTCGTGTTGAAAGTTAAAAGAGATGACTCACAAAAATCCTCAAAACTGTAAAAGATATGAAAGCACATGAAATTTGCGTACCTGAATTACTGCTTGCATCATTTTTGCCCTAACACGAAGGAAATCATTTGCCACGGCAATAATCTAGAAATGAACAAGAACTGCTTTCAGGCACATCCAGTGTCAGATGGGTTCGTCGTTACATCTATATTCTTGCTGCGGTGAGACAGGCACCGAATGCTGTTTCCGGCTACAGCCTGTTGTGATTGCCTACACTGCCGGCTTAGGATTTGTTTTTGTTGTTGCTGTGATATTTTACTTTTTGTTGAAATTTAATCTGATTTGTCCAGTGTCATCAAATGATCGTGAGGTTATTGAGTACAGGGATTTGCCCAAATCAGATAGATAGCTTTTCCTCCGGCTTAAAAAATTTCATTGGATAAGCTTCAAGATTCTTTTAATTCTGAATTTTTTCTGAGCCTGCTGCAGTTATGGTTTAAATCCGTGTTTCAAAAGACAGTGTCGATGTAGATAAACGAAGACCGTCATCTGTCTTGCTGTGCGCTTTGACTGCTAGAGCATGTGTTCAGTACTGGAGCAGTGATATTCACTTGTATCATCTCAGCTTTGGTTCCAAATCACGCTATTTTGGTTTTCATTCCTATGATTTTTGCATATTTGTGCTAATGCAAAGAAGCGTATTGGCAGAAGGTTGTGCGTGTTCATTTTGTCCCAGTAACCAGAGAAGCAAGGAGATGTAACTTTTGAAGCGTGTACTCACCGCATGCGTGACCCCGGTTCACGCTTGCTTGTATGTCACGTATGGAAGCTGGAAAGGAAACGTGTAAATTTTTTGCCGAGAAAACGATTTCTGGAACCAGGCGAGGTAGAAAGCTAGAATTCCACAAGGATGTTCTTTGTCCATGTCTGAGCTAAAAAATTGAGATCCAGCTTCAACCCAAACTTACATCGTGCTTATAGACAAGTTAAAGTTGAGACTGCGAATTCACTGGCAAATGTGCAACCAGGAACCTAGTTGATTAGAGCGCCGTAATTCAGCGAGAACATTTGTTTTCCATTCCTGGGCACACAGGCATAAAAAGAGCTTTGGCGGTCGAACACGCCAAAGATATTTGCAACGGAAAGAGATTTCGTCACAGATCAAGCTAGGCTGCTGGACTTTGACGAATATGTTCTATGCTTATGTGCAACTTAAGTATCTCAAACCTAGCTTTAAAGCACGCCTGAGTATCGCGTACGAGCAAATGAATGCTTAGTTTGGGCTGGATCCAATTAACTTGGTAACCAGACTAAGCAGAAAGCAACGTTTTATTTTCTGAGAATATCTGCTATTCATGCGGGAGCCAGCAAGCATAAAATGGGCTTCTGTTCACGCTTGTGCTCCGTATCAAATGTTTAAATGGTAGCGCTGCAATCATCCTGCTCACAGCATTTAGCAGGGAAGGGAACTGAAATTTTATGGAATTACTATCTGATTCTGCCAGGCACGAAATTGAATGGATTTCATAGTCTTGATTGATTCCTCATAGACTGCGGTATACCTTGTCATTATAATCAAGGAATATGGAAAGCAGTGGAAACCCAGGCTGGAACGCACCAGGCGAGCCGGTGCGATCATGCGTTTTTGCACCAGACTTGAAA